CAGGTGTGGTCTCACCAGGGCCCTACACAGTTGCAGCAAGACTTCCCTACTCTTATACTCTAATGAATGCTAACACACCATTCACCTTCCTAATTGCTTGCTGCACCTGCAGACTAACTTTCTGTGATTGCTGTACAAGGACACTCAAGTCCCTCTGGACGCTAACACATTCCAATCTCTCCTCTTCTAAAAAATAACCTGCTCTACTGTTATTGCTACCTACGGGATGCATCCAAGGTTACTGAAGGAAGTAAGGGTGGAAATACCGGAGGCTCTGGTCACAATCTTTCAATCCTCCTTGGACACCGGAGTGGTGCCAGAGGACTGGAGGGTTGTAAATGTTACTCCCCTGTACAAAAAGGGGCAGAAGGATAAAACCGGGAACCACAGGCCAGTCAGCCTAACGTCAGTAGTGGGGTAACTTTTATAGACTATAATCCGAGACAAAATAAATTTTCACTTAGAAAAATATGGGTTAATAAAGGACAGCCAACACAGATTTCTTAAAGGCAAATCATGTCTAATAAACCTGATAAGAGATTTTTGATGACGTAACGAAGAGGATGGATGAGGGTAGTGCAGTTGATGTAGTTTATATGGATTTTCAAAAGGCGTTTGATAAAGTGCCACATAAGAGACTTGTAAGCAAGATAGAAGCCCACAGTATTAAAGGAACAGTGGCAGCATGGATACAGAACTGGCTGGGAGACAGAAAGCACAGAGTGGTGGTGAATGGTTGTTTTTCTGACTGGAGGGAAGTGTGCAGTGGTGTCCCCCAGGGATCGGTATTGCGACCACTGCTGTTCTTGTTCTATATAAATAACCTGGACTTCAGTATTTCCAAATTTGTAGATGATACTAAGCTGGGAAAAGTAGTAAACAATGAGGAGGATAGTAGCAGACTGCAAACGGACATAGATAGACTGGTAACATGGGCAGACACGTGGCAGATTAAGTTTAATGTGGATAAATGTAAAGTGATGCATTTTGGGAGGAAGAATGAGGAGAGGCAATATAAGCTGATGGTACAATCTTAAAGGGGGTGAAGGGACAGAGAGACCTGGGGTTTATATAAGTAAATCTTTGAAGGTGGCAGGACATGGAGATAAAGCTGTCAAAAAAGCATACGGGACACTAGGCTTTATAAATAGGGGCATAGAATACAAAAGTCAGGAAGTCAGGAAGTTATGATGAACCTTTATAAAACACTGGTTAGGCCTCAGCTGGAGTACTGCGCTCAGTTCTGGGCATCATACTTTAGGAAGGATGTCAAGGCATTGGAAAGGGTGGAAAGGAGATTTACCAGGATGGTATCAGGAATGAGGGACTTCAGTTATCAGGAGAGGCCAGAGAAGTGAGGATTATTATCCTTGGAGCAGAGAAGGTTAAGAGGAGACTTAATAGAAGTTTTCAAAATTCTGAGGGGATTCGATAGGGTGAAAAGGAGAAACTATTTCCACTGGCGGGTGGGTCGGTAACACAAGGACACCAATTTAAAATAGTTTTAAAAGAAACAGAAGGAAAGTGAGGAGAAATTTTTTTGCACAGCGAGTTGTTCGGATCTAGAGTGCATTGCCAGAAAGGGTGGTGGAAGCCGATTCAATAACAGCTTTTAAGAGAGAAGTAGGTAATTATTTGAGGAGGACAAGTTTGCAGGGCTTATGGGAGAGAGAAGGGAGTGGGATTGAATTGGATAGCTCTTTTCAAAGATCCGGCACAGACACGATGGGCTGAATGGCCTCCTTCTGTGCTGTATAATTCTGTGATTCTATTTATTGAATGGAAAAACACAGGCAAATTTTTTTAAATGTGTAATACAGTATTTATTTTATATGCTGTGAGTTTGCGCTATAATTTCCAAAGTGCTTTGAGACAACTATTTTATATGAAAGGCACTGTATAAATACAAATTATTGTTATATGAGCAATATTATTTCAAGATAATAATCCTTACATTTGATATGGTGCCTTATCATGTCGTCGAGGGGTCTCAAAGCTCTTTGCAAGATTTCCTGTAAAGTGTAGTGACTGTATTTTGTAGGGGAACCCAACACCAATTTGCACACAGCAATGCCCACAAACATCCATGAAGTGAATGACCTATTTTATTTGGGAAATTGTTGGCCAGTTCACTGAAGGAAACATCCAGCTCAACAGACAGATGGGATCCCATGATCCCTTACACTGGAAAGATGTGATCAAACCCTTCAAGACCAGTTCTGATGAATGTTCACACCCGACGAGTGAACTTGCTTTTTCTTTTTAAGATGTTGATTAACCGGCTGTGTGTTTTAAGCATTTCTGCTGTTTCAGTTTAAAACCTAATTAATCTAGCAGATGAATCAAGAAAGTTAATCTACAACTTCCTATAGCATCTTGTGTCCCATATCCAAAGTGCAATGTGCAAGGGAAATTCAGCAGTAAAAGGTAGGTGTATTGTTAATAAAAAATACTTTTGTACTAAAGCAATTAAAGCATAGATTAATTTAATTGCAAAAAGGGACTCTAACAGTAAATTATGCCAGTTCATTGCATTATTGAGTTTTTCTATGAATGTAACACCTGTTATATTTTTACAAGTGATCCTTAATCTTTCATGAAAGCAATTTTGTACTCATTCATTCAGGCCATCTGCAAGATTGTAAGGGTAGCTCCAGGCTTAGATTCAGGTGTAAGCTACTGTACAACTGTACTGTCAACAGTGCTGTACAGAATTTCTTCAGACTCCATTTTGACCAGCTCATTGTTTGATCTGTCTTCCTTCCTAACAGACTGCTGCTATTGGTAAACCACGAACATATTGATGATACTGTAGAAAGGTAAGCAAAACTAAAGTGTCTCAATAAAGACAATGAACAACTAGTGCAGAACTGTTCCTTAACCTTTTATATTATTTTTGCTTTAGTTAATAATTATATATAAATGATATAACAATCCTTGATTTAGTGCCTTATCACGTCATCAGAATGACTCAAAGTGCTTCACAGGATTTTATAGCAAACTGTAGTGACTATATTTGTAGTTGAACATGACAGTCAGTCTCACAAACAGTCAGGAATTAACAATTGTATCGAGGGATTGTTGGCCAGAACACCAGGAGAAACTCCCTTCTCTCATAAAATAGCACCTATTCAGCATCCACCTGAATAGGTACAGATAGGACGTCAGAGGACGGCACCTGTGACAATTCAACATATCCCAGCAGTGCACTCAATGGTCAGCCTAGAGTGTTCAAAGTCCCTGATGAGGGGCTTGAACCTACAACATTCTCTTTGTGACCAGTGTGATCCAAAGGAAGGCATCTCCAGTCAGGCAGGGCTCCCCCATTACTTCACTGGAGTGTCAGCCAGGACTGTGGCAACTACTGAAATGTTTACTTTATTACAGTCCTACATTTATGATGTGTTATTCATTAGTTAAAATCACATTGCAGTTGTTTATTTGTTGTATAGAAAGCGCTGAATTGGAGAGTGGGAAAATAGAGAAAACAAAATGAACATTGTGTAAAATCAGGCAATTCCCTCCAGAGACATAGGCTCTGCTTGGTGCTGCTTATTAAAACTGTTATCTGTCATTTTACTAGAAGTATGCAACAGTATGTAATGTCTGGGTTTCATCCTGTGTTGTCTGCAACACTGAGGACCCTATATTCACTTGCAGAGCAACTCCTGCTAGAATCTTTGTGAAGCACTGATGAGTTAGCTTGCCTGTTGTTCAGCTAATAAGGGGTGTTGTAAGCCCAAATTCATCTAATGGTCTAAGCCTAAAGACCATTGCTACAAAATTCTAATATGGTGCAGAATTTTGCAATTCAGTCTGAATTTGGATGTCGGATTTCCATACTTTCTGAAAGAAAAAACTGCTTCCAAATCAGGAGCAAATCAGGCTTTAAGACCGGAAAGAATGTTGGGCCTCAGTGTTGTTTAGAGGCAGTTCAAATAACTGAGTGTGTAATGATCATCTTTCCCTTTTGGGCATGGGTTTTCAAACTGTGGGGGGCACCCTGGACCAAAGTGGAGTGGAGGCCCATGTGAAGTATAAACACTGGCGAGCTTGATTAGGCCGAATGGCCTGTTTCCATGCTGTAACATTCTGTGCAGTTCCATGTAGTACAATGGGACATAGCACCTGTGACATAGATGTTGGTGCTTGCTTGGATTTCAAACCCTAATAATTCAATTTGACTGCTTTTGGAAACAAGGAAAGGCTGTGGTCATAGGGTTTTGATGCCTTAGGCTCTTTCAGATCAGCCTCCAGACCTGCCGTAAGCAATGAGCCCTGTTATAATGAATGGATCCTCCCTGGGAACATGCAGGCCACTGCTGGAGCATACATCACCAGAAGAACCCAAGATGTGAGCGGAGATGTCAAACGACAAGCCTGTGGGGCATGCTGCTCAAATAGGAGATATCTTATTTAAGAATTTTTAAAAATAATACAGATGGGGAAGCACTCTCTACAAAAAGTACTCCTTCTGTTTTAACTATTCCCAGTCACCTCTTCGCATTCTTCTTTTAAGAGCTTAGACAGTAATAAGTGCTGACAGACTGTTTGACTAGGGTGGATAAATAAATTGGTCATTTCAATCCACGACTGCTGTGAGCAATTGGCTGCCACATTTCGTCCACAAAATATACGGTCAATTCACTTCATAGTATATTATGTGAAGCACTTTGAGTCTTCTTGATATCTCTATATATATATATACAAATTAAATTTACAGGTACGCCAGAGCATAATGGAGAGTGTAAACACTTCAGAAAAAGTAACATAATTGTGTCACAAACACTCAAAAAACGGACCAATCATGACTCTCACAATGGAGTGGGGTGAATGCAATGACATGATCAGGGTGTCCTCTTTCAGAAGCAGCTGTGGACAGTTTTTCCCTCAGAGCATTTGACAGGTCTTTTCAGTGATAACCATTCAACTGCATTGATTCATCCACTTCTCAGTCCACAGAGAGCATCCCAAAATGTAATGTGTGCGTGAGTGTGTACATATAAGTCTCTCCCCATAAAGAGGGGAGCAGTGAAGTGGAGAATTTGGCATGCCATCCGGTAAGTGTAGGACATCATCAGAACTGGGATTAGCTCAAAAGTGTAACTGCTCCCTGTAGATAAAGACAGCAGAACACAGGACCGAGGCCCTGGTCCCTCCACTCGACGAAACGGTACCATGTTTAATGGGTTTGAATCAGTTGGGTTGTTTATAATAATAATAATCCTTGCATTTGATATAGCACCTTATCACGTCTTCGAGACGTCTCAAACGCTTCACAGAATATACTGTAAAATGAGTTGACTGTTTATTTTGTGGGTGAAACACGGCAGCCAATTGCACACAGCAGTGTCCCACAAACAGTCGTGGATTGAATAACCAATTTTTTTGAAGGAACTAGTTTTTCTGTTTTTTTCTGTTACAGTCTGTTCTGTTCTGTCTTTTGTGGAATGTAGTGTTTATATAATAATTTATACATTTGCTTGGGAAATAAGAGGATGGGGCGGATTGAATGGGAGCGAAGAATATTTGTGAAATTTTTTTTTTGTCACGGTTGTGTTTTTCTTGAGGAAAGTAGAAATATATTTTTTACATACTAATAGATATATTTGTTTAAAAACAAAACAAATTCTCAGTTCTGGAATGGAGCTCCAAATGTGCTGCTTGCAAACCAGGTCAGAACTCTCCACTCCCCAAAGTGCTCTGGAGCTCTGTGAGTGAACACATGGGAGAATTCAGCCTTGAAAAGAGACACCCCCAGAGGTGATTTTATAGAGGTAAATTTTAAATTGGATTGAGAACAACCCAGAACAATGCTTTCAGATATGCCATAGCAACAGGACAATAGAGCACTGGAAGCCAAAGCCCTAATGGGTACGATAGTCCTAGCTGTACAAGCAGTGGGATAACTTGTTAGGCAGTGCTTTCAGTGGCAAGTTTTGTGGTTTTAGCTAGTTAGAATCCAGCAGTTACCCAACGCACACTCTGGGGGCCCCAAGCTCTTTGTTCTTGCCAACCTGTGCCTAATACTTCCTCGGAATATAGGTAAGCAGAATGTATCCTCCAGGAAGAGAGTGCACATTCCATCCCAACAAATATCTCTTAAATTTCTATGTGTAGGTGAGATGTATGGAAATATGAGTTTGGTTTGGATACTCTTAAGCATTGTGATGGGTTTTTATAAGTGTCAGACGCCCCCCCGGCTGACCAAAAAAAAATTAGGGCGTAGGTTTGGGGTTACAAAGGGCAAGTTCAATACAAACTTTTACCCAGAGGGTAATTGACAACTGGAACAGGTTATCAGGAAGGTAACCCGTTCAGACATGTCAAGGCAACAGAACAATAGGTGAGGATGCATTTAAGAAATTGCTTGATGCTGCATTGGGAGGATGGTAGAGTGGATACTTTGGACTAACAAGATCAGATAGACAGAAGGGTCTTCTTCATCTGAACTTCTGTTGTGATCTTGTGAACTCTTTATTCCACTTCAGGGAAAGTATTAAGGAGGAGAGCAGTTTCTGATTTGAAGCAAGGGATGAGTGAATGGCCCTTTTCTGTGCTGTAGAGGTTCTGATACTTGACAAGGTGGTTAGTTTTTTAGTGAGGCAACTACCCTTTTGCTTGACACACCGGTGGATGAATGCCACGATGATAAGTTCCAACAACATGAACTCTTGCAGCCCTTATTACACAATATCAGTCAGCTGCAGGCAAAAAGCTGGAGGCACACTCACATGTGGATACATTGGGCAGCATTTTGAAAAATCTAGTCTTAATTCTGAAGCTGTTTTTTCAATTTTTAAAACAAACTGTCTTCAAAATTGAGATTGAACTAGGATTTCAATCCTCTTCTAAATGAAGTACATTAAAAGATAAGAGCAAGTGAGTGGGATAGGATGCGGTAAATCATGTGAAAAAAAACATCGCAGACCTAATAATAATAATCCTTGCATTTGATATAATGCCTTATCATGTCGTCGAGACGTCTCAAAGCACTTAACAGAATATACTGTAAAGTAAATTGACCATATTTTGTGCGTGAAATGCAGCAGTCAAATTGCACCCAGCAGTTTCTCACAAACAATGTTGCATTGAGTGACTAAATTTTTTAAGGGATTATTACCTTTGGAAAGCAACCTGCTAATCGATTAACCAGGCTCCTACTTACTGCTGCATAAACAGGCGTGTGGAGTAAGGAAACTTGCCTAATCTTTCTCCCTGCCCAGGAATCAAAACCGGGTGCTCTTGCTTGCCAGGCGAGTGCTCTAACCAATACCTTACAGGACTCCACAATTTAAACCATTTCCAAGATAATGGAGAATACAAAGGCTAAGATAATATCAGACTCAACTAGAATGTATAGCAACCACTAAACACACAGCTCAATAATGCCAACATTCACTGTCCCAGTTGAAGAAAGACGAGGGCAAAGTACATGATGCCTGTAAAAGCCTACCGAAGTAGAAAGAAAAACAAGCCTGAACTTTAAGGCGGGGCATGCATTTTTTAGTCTGACTACACACGTTAAAATCAGCATGATATTTACACATATATAGTGTTAGAAGCTCTGACTGAACAATATTTATTGTATTCATAGTTTATCTTGAAATGTGCAGTGAATGGAAGGGGCAGAAAAAATATCCCACAAATCAATAAGTAGCAATAAAGGCGCCACTTTAAAATTGGATCACATTGAAGCTACCAACCTTTGGGTTACGGGGACAATTATATATCAATTTATTGCGTAAATACAGACTGGGCATAAATCGTAGCCTTGGCATCAAAGCAGCATGCAGAAACACAAACATAATTCCACATGGGTATATTGCTACAAGCTGTGTTTGAATTGCCTTGTATTTTCACTGCCAACTTTTGCAGTGGCCTTACTCTGCATATTAAAATAACTGAACGCAATAATTAGAGGGTACATTAATTGATTTTTTTTTGGTTTAGAGCAATTAATACTTCTAAGGCCTGTTTTTATAATGCATTTCATAATGCAAGATTTTTAATGCAACTGTACTTCACTAAGTTATGCAGTTGGCCTCAACTGCTCCCCCCTCCCCAACACACACACACAAACATCACTCCACTACCACTACTGTGCAAGGGACAGGAGATATCATCCATGGACACTATGTGTTAGAGGCAAAACAGCTGAGCGCAATCCTGTTCTCACCTGACATTCACACATGTTCCAGCAGTCACTAGATAGGAATTTAGGGGATTTGTTTTGTTTTGTAACAGATATATTAAATCTTCCAGAATTGTTGACAATTTCATGCAGTGCATCACATTTTCATGTCAATGTTTGATATACATTCTGTTACAGGTATTTAGGAGAGACCACAAAGCTGGGATCGATCACACTGCAGGAGAGAAGGCTTTATATTGGTTGTCAGGTGTAGCTGAGAAACAGGAGCCCTCTTAATAAAGCGCATTTGAAACAATATAATTTACATGACTCTCCCCTCCCAAAATGGTACCACACCCAGCAGTAAGGAATCATTCATTGATTTTGCAGTGTTCAACATTCAAGTGAGCATGTGAGTTAACAGCATGACATCTAAGCATGAACGTTACATGACAATTAGGTTTACAAGCAGTTTGTACTTAAGTAAAGAGTCAAACTGCTACTTTGATAAAATACAACATGTTTGCTTTGCATCTGTGCTGCATTCACAGTCTGCACCAATCTAGATGTGAAAATTGTTTGATTCGGGTCAAAATGCTACCACACGGCAGCAATTGTACATCACAGTTGAACGTTAAGATGATGTCTTTATGTAGATTCATACAACATAATACAAAATTACATTTGTAGACCACCTTTCACGTCGGGGGGATGTTCCAGGAGCGCCTTTTAAGTCGGGCGGGCGGGTGGGGGGCTGTTGAGATCAGGGAGGGTGCCTGAAAGCGCAAGTCTTGAGGCGTGTCTTGAAGGAGGCAAGGCGAAGGGAGTGTGTGATGGAGTTCCAGAGGGTGGGGGCAGAGAGGCTGAAGGCCCACCACCGATGGTGGGGTGAGCCGGGCAGGGGACATGGAGCAGGCCCGGAACCTGCTGAGTGGAGGGAGCGGACAAGGTGATAAGGGGTCAGGACGTCGGAGAGATTTGGAGGTGAGGACGAGAATTTTGCACTCAATCTCTGAGGGAGGGGAGCCAGTGTAGCTGGGCGAGGGTGGGTGTGATGGGATCATGGAGCCTGGTATGGGAAAGGGCACAAGCTGCGAGTTCTGGATGATCTGCAGCTTGTGGAAGGAAGATTCGGGCAATGTTGCGGAGGTGGGGGACAGCAGAGCGGATCATGGCATGGATGTGGGGGAGAAAGAACAGTTGAGGGTCGAACAAGATGCCTAGGTTCTTGACTGACTTGGTGAGGTGGAGTGTGCATCCATGGATGCTGATGCTGCCAGTGTCTGAGGTGCAGAGGCACTAGCGCGAGCCATTCAGGAGAGCCTCGGGCTTGCTGACGTTCAACTGTAGAAAGTTGGCTCTTATTCAAGCCCTGATGTCTGACAGCAGTCTGTCAGGACATCAGTTGTCCTGGGGTCGAGGGTGGAGGCTGAGAGATAAAGTTGGGTGTCATCTGCATACATGTGAAAATTGACTCCATGTCTGCAGATGATGTCACGAAGAGGGAGCATGTACAGGTTTACAGAGGAGAGGACCAAGCCCTGAGGAACGTTGCACAAGATGGTGCATGGGCTGGAGGAGAAGCAATTTGCGAAGACAAAATGGAGCTGGTGTGAGAGATGGGATCTGAACCATTCAATGACAGAACCTTGAAGATTAAGGTGAGAGGAGAGGCGGTGGAGGACGATAGAGTGGTCCATAGTGTAAAAGGCATCAGAGAGGTCGAAGAGGATGAGGAGACAGATGGACAGAATGTAATTTGTCACCTTGACCAGGGCTGTTTCCGTGCTGCAAGCAGAACAGAAACCTGATTAGATAGGGTTCATAAAGGGAGTGGCAAGAGAGGAAGAAATGAAGCTGGGAAGCAACAACTCTTTCAACGACCCTGAAAAGGAAGGCAAGGTTGGAGATGGGGTGGTAGTTAGT